TGGAGGATGAGATGAGGAGGCTCAGGGAGAAGAAAGATAAGAAGAAGAAGAAGAAGAAGAAGAAGAAGAGGGACGACGTTTCGACAGCGAAGCAGCAGAAAACCGAGGCGACCGATTCGGACTCGGACTGAGGGGCGCAAGATTAGAGGCTAGGGGGGGGAGGAGGAGGAGGAGGAGGAGGAGGAAGAGGAGGAAGACGTGGTCGGAAGAGAAAGGGGGGATGTCAGGGATACTCATGTGCCCCCTGAGCTACCGCACAAAAAGAAGAGGATGGGGGAGGAGGAGGAAGGGGAGGAGGGGAAGGGGAAATATTCGGATTCGAAATCGGAACGATTGCGAAGCAAGATCAAATATTAAGTTTGCAACGATTGGTACCGATAAAGGGATGGGGGAAGAGGGCGACGACGAGGAGAGCGAGGAGGGCGAGGCGGTGAAGGAGGAGGGGGATGAAGAGGGAGCGGGGCGCGCGCGGGGGCCGCGGAGCAAGCCGGGGGCCGGCGCCAGGAGGTCGAACCTCCTCCCCCTCCCCCTGCTCCAGGGCTCAGGGAAAAGCCTGCTCCCCCTGCCCCAGCTCGGGGAAAGCCCGCGCTTCGTCGTCGTCGTCGTCGTCGTCCTCCTCCTCCTCCTGGACTCCTCGGGTTCTGGGTCCTGGTACCTGGGTCCTCGTCCTGGAGATCCCTCGGGCCCTGGATCCTGGACTCCTCGTGGGACCTGGGACCGCGCCTGGCCCCCCTCGTCGTCGTCGTCGTCGTCGTCGTCGTCGTCGTCGTCGTCGTCGTCGTCGTCGTCGTCGTCGTTGGAAGCGATGAGGGCGGAGGAGGAGGAGGAGGGAGGAGGAGGAGGAGGAGGAGAAGGATGGGGGAGCGGAGGAGGAGGGGGAGGGTGAGGAGGCGGAGGAGGAGGACGATGAGGAGGAGGAGAGGAGGACGATGGAGGATGGGGGACGAGGAGGAGGAGGAAGAGGAGGAGGAGGAGAAGGAGGAGGAGGAGGAGGAAGAGGAGGAGGAGGAGGAGGATACGTCGACTCGATCTTCACTGCGCAGGCCCCGCGCCCCCGCCTGCTGCGGGAGACAGAGGGGTGGGGAAGGGGAGGGGAAGGGAAATGTGGGGGCGGGCATTTGTTTCGTGGCCGTAAGGCCACTTAGGGCCAAGGCATAAACCAGCTGGCCTTTTCTGAGGCCCCTTAAGGGGCCTTCCGCGGCCCCTCATGGCCCCTTAGGGCCAAGCCAAATCTCCGCTGGCCTAGGTAGAGGAGGAGGAGGAGGTGGAGGAGGAGGTGGAGGAGGTGGAGGAGTAGCGGCATTTTCCCCTGGCCGTAAGGCCCTTTAGGGCCAAGGAAAAACACAAGGAGGCGGAGGAGGAGGAGGAGGAGGGGGATCTCGATATGTTCCGTGGCCGCAAGCCAAACGGAAAAAAAAAATACATAAAAACATCCAGGGGCGCGTTCTGACCAGGATATCCTGGGGTGCGTTCTCACCAGAACCTTGAGGGGAACCCAGCCGTGGCGACGAGAAGCCTCTCGGAGGCCCATAAGATCCTCCTCATCGGCGGTACCTCGGCGGGGTGAGGGCGCATAGGTATCCCTGCCATCAGTGGGGTAGGGGCGCATAGGTATCCCTACCATCCCCTCCTCCTCTTATCCGCCCCCATCCCCCACCTCCTCATCCCGCTACCTCCCAGCGTGCAAGTCGCGTGCAAGTGCGTGCAAGTGCGTGCAAGTGGGGCCCCGTGCAAGGGCGGACGTGCACTTGCACGCTGGATGTGGGGGGTGTCTCGCGTGCAAGTCGTGCAAGTGATCTGGGGCACCCAGGCCGAGGCCGCACGTCGCGTGCAAGCGGCGTGCAGTTGCACGCCGCCCCTTGGGCCCCCTCCCTCTGTTCCAAAGCTGGTTGGGCTCAAGCTCTGAGTGATCGGTGGCCGTCGGGACCTCTTCGCCAACCAAGATGGCGGCTCCTCCGACCGCCCCGATCGTGCGTTTCGTTCGTGCTCGGCTGGAGTACATGGCGTGCATGGCAGATGGGGGCCAGGCCATGGAGCCAGTCGCGAAGAAGGCCACCGAGGGCATCGTTGGCCAGATTGGTTTGACCTCCTTGGGCGTCGAGGAGAGCACTGTGGTCACCCAGATGGTCAATCAATGCAACCACTTCTCGGACGGCGATAAGGCGAGGATCAGGGATGCCATCGAGTCCAGGACGAATATGCAAGGCAGTGGCCATGCCGCCCCCCAGGCGCCGAAGCAGGTCGCACTCAGCCTCCAGATCTACCTGAAGGCTTCGGACTGGGCGGCATTCGAATCTGACGCTCCGCCCAAGGTGAAACTCTACCACATGGCTGGCGCCATGATCCGCCTTCGCCCTGTGAAGGCCAACGAGCGCAGCTACTCGCACGCGATGAGCCTGGCCCTCTTCAAGCATGCGCCGTTGCAGACGCAGGAGGCCTACAACCACACCATGGACCTGAAGGAGTTCGTCCGCAGAGGGGCATCTTCGGTCGATAAGGGCCCGATCACCTACCCCAACTGCATGGAGACGTTCAAGACCGAGAACCCTGCGCTGCACGATGCGTGCTACGCCTTCGAGGCCCCCGTCCCGTCGAAGCTCGACGAGGTGCAGGTTGGGATGCTGAGTGGCCCCTGCAGGGACACTCATACTGGGGTCGAGCGCAAGCGCGGCTCGTCGTCGAGGTCGGCGGGTAACCCCATGAGGAGCATCTTCGGGTCCGAGCCGCCACCTGCCCAGGGGCGCCAGCTTGCGCTCCCAGGGCCATCGGGCTGGCCGCACCATGAGTGGCAGCCGCAGCCTCAGCCCGCGCTGCCCTGGCACGGCTCAGCCTATGGCGGCCCCGAGAGCCAGTCGACGCCCACTCCATCGGCTGGCTATCCAGTGCATGGTGCCCATTCGCAGCCATACGGTGCCAGTTCGCAGCAGCAGGTGGGCTGTCCCCAGCAGGGGCACGCGCCGCATCCCGCGCATGCGGCGCCCGCGGCGCCCGCGTCGGAGCTGCCTGCTTCGGGGCCACCTGCCGAGGGCCGCCCGCGTGCTCGAGAGCCACTTCCTTCGGGGCCGCCTGCTGCCGAGGCGGGTGCCGCACCAGCCGCAGCAGAGGGTGACAAGGAGTCGAAGCTGAAGGACCTGACGCAGAAGATCAAGAACCACTTGGCGACGAAGAGGCCCGCGGCCGCAGACCGCGACGATCGCGAGCCTGGTGAGGGAGGGACTGATGACGAGGGCGAGGTTGATGACATGGAGGATCCCACCCAGAAGGCGGCGATGAAGCGCGCGGGCAAATCTAAAGCAAAGGCTAAGGCCAAGGCGAAGAACTCTCCCAAGGTTAAGGCCAGTAGCCAGTCCCAGCCCAAGTGCACGCCCTCGCCCAAGGGGAAGGCCTCGCCCGAGGGGAAGGGCACCATCAACCACGAGCTTCAGTTCTCGGCGAAGCAGTCGAGCCCGCCCCGCTACCATGGCTGCGCGACCATCTACACGATGACGCGGGCGCGCACCTGGATGGTGAAGCCAGGCGAGGGGCGCCGCGACGACTGGGCGTTCCCTTGGGGCGCGAACCAGGCTACCATGAAGGCGCAGTGGGCGAAATTGGTCACCCTGGTGAAGGACATCAACAGGAACCCTGGTAAGTACGAGGAGCGCGCGCGCTACCGCCGCTAGGCTGGCTCGTCCTCGTCTCTCAGCTGCTCGGGCCAAGCAGTTTGTTTTTTTCTGTAGGATTGGATGATATACATCCATTGCGCGTGCGAGTTCAGGATTGTGGGTTGGCCTGCGCTGCGGCGTCGCTTTCGGATCGCAGTGGAGCATGCGCTAGCACCGAGTTGAAACGTGGAAATGCCGCCCCCATAGATAGGGAGGGGGCGAGAAGCAGATCACGGGGGGAGGGAGGGCAGTTTGAAAGAAACCGAGGAGGAGGAGGAGGAGGAAGAGGAGGGGGAAGGAGGAGGAGGAGGAGGGCTAAGGAAGCCTATTCAATATTCAAAATGCATCAGCGATGCGGCAATACACTCTCCCGTCCGCTAGCGGCGCTGAAATACGCCCTCCCGCCTTAGAACCGCGCTGTAAAACGCCCCCTGCATTATGCCGATGCTGCAATGCACGCCGCGTCATAAACAAATGCTACAATACACCCTCCCGTCCGCGAGTGATGCTGCAATGCGCCCTCCCGTCATATGACGATGTTGCAATGCACGATCAAATGTACTACCGATGCTGCAATGCACCCTCCCGTCCTTCCACGATGCTGCAATGCCGTTCCTCGCATCATTCGGACGTCCGAAAACGATTGTTTAGCCTGGTTTATTTTGATGTGTTGGCTTCGTGCCCCGCCTCCAGCCCCGTGTCCTTTCCGTAGTCGTTCTGGCTCAAAGAATGGCGCGAGCCGTCATAGACGGCCCAGGCCTCAGAGACTTGTCCAGCGCACTTCTGGATGCGAACGTTGCCTCGCGCGGCGTCCTGGAGTCTTCCAGGCGCGCGCGGGCAGTGCAGGGGCTTCGGACTTTCTCTGTGAGCCACTTGCAAGCGCTGCGATCGCAGGAGTTGCATTCACTTGGGGCGACGGAGACACCCTACGGCACGCTTATTCAACGAGATGTGGCACAGGGGAAAAAAGGCCCCATCGAGATCGAATACATATCGCCACAGGCATGGCTTTTCCATGCGGCAGAGACTTTCCCTGGGTTTAGCTCATTGTTGTCAGACTGCACACATGGCTCGGTTGAGGGATATCCTCGGATAGGCGTTTACTTTGACAAGGCCACACCTGGCAACGACAAGCGGCCAGACGCGGGGAGGAGCGCTGACTGCGTGTACTGGACAATACTTGAGTACCCCTCGTGGTACCGCTCTCGGTCAGAAGGGTGGACCACTTTTGCGTACGTGAGGAAACATGATATGAAGCAAGCAGGGCTGTCGGAGTCTATGTTGATGAAGTTCATCGTGTCAACGTTTTTTGGCACGCAAAAAAGCTGGGGTCTAGATACAGTTGGGATCAGGGTGATGCTAAATGGAACTCGGCTGCTTCTGAAAGCACGCTTCGGAGTGTTTCTGGCAGATTTCGAAGCTCACGTGAACGCGTTCAGTTTCAAGGGTGCCGCTGGTAGCGTGCCTTGCCCGAGGTGTCGGAATGTCGTGGGCAGGTGCGAGCATTTCGACGACTCCCCCGACGTGCTTCATATCTGGAGCCCCTCTTACGAGAAGATTCAACCCAGGACGAACGCTGAGCTAAAGGATATCGTGGATCATTTGTCGGGCCTCGCTGCAGCGGGGGCCAATGCGGAGCTCAAGCTCGATTCGCAACACCTCGGCGTTAGGTATGACCCCGACGCGCTGCTGTGGGACAGAGAATTGATAGAGATCACCAAACCTCCATCATGCCTGTACCTGGATTGGATGCATTGCCTCGCCGCCTCAGGGGGCATTGGCCAGTTCGTGCTCAACCGCGTGCTCAGGGCGCTGCTTGAGGCGAGCGCTGAGTTCACGTTGGAGGTCCTTGACGAATGGGCAAAGTGTGCGAAGCTCCCTCGGTCGCACCAACAACTACCCAAGATGTTCTTCCAGGAAAGGTACGTGAAAGGAGTGAACAAGCACATCAGAGCATTCGCATCAGAAGTCCTCTCAGCAACAGTGGTGTTGACAATGTTCATGGAGGAGGTGGTCGAGGACGACGACGAGGTTTTGAGCGACCACCTTCTGATTTTAAAAATGCAGTGTGCGATTTTCGATGCGTTGGAGCGTGGCGACCCTGAGGACGCTAGGTCGACCATTGAGGCATATTACGAGTATGCCAAGCTTTATGCACGATTGTACCCAGAGTGTCGGAAACCGAAATTGCATTTTACGCTGCACGCGTTGCAATCATGGGTGGATGTTGGAATTCTGTTGTCTTGTTTCTCAACGGAGCGAAAGCACAGAACCTTCAAAAAGACCATGACGTTTTCGTACAAGGCTGCCTGTTCGACAGCCCTGGCAACGGAGCTCCGCCGAATGGTGAATAGCTTCGCCCAGGGACATGTTTTTCACAGGTGCTACCTGCTAGACCCAGTGCGCAGGACGCACAGAGTGCTAGACTTAGGGGGTGGCGTCCACGCAACAATCACCCGCTGGTCCTTAGGCACCAGCACACCCCGAGGTCGTTTTCTAAACAATGATCTTCTGTGGTGGAAGCGCGGCAATCTTGTGCAGTGCGGGGTTGCAGTCGGCTTCGTATCTGGCGAAGCTGGCATTCTGCACGGGTTTGGCGCTCTTGTCAATTTGTGCGAGTTGGTTCCTGGGACAGCCACGTGGAGAAAGCTAGATGTGCTGTTTTTGGTTCCAATCGAGAGCGTACTCGGTGCACTGGTGTATTTGAAATTCGACGACGGTTTATACAAGCCGCACTTTCCTAATTGATATGCTTTCTGGAAAGGGCTCGGCGGTGAGCCTGGGTACGACAAGTGCCCTGCTCCTGTACTCCTCCGACTCCTCTCCCTCCCCCGCCACGCTACCTGCTGCTGCTGCTCCTCCCTGCTCCCTCCTCGCTCCTGCTCCTGATCCTGATCCTCCTCGTATTCCTGCTGCTCCTGCTGATCTTGCGATCCGTCTTGCAACAACGGAAAAAGATAACAGTGCCCGTCGGTGTCTTTATTCCCCGAGGCCTGATGGCCTGGCCGCCTGCCCCCTGCTATTCCTCGAAGCCTGATGGCCTGGCCGCCTGCCCCCCCCCCGACCCCGAAAAACAGCAACAAAAAACTATATGAAATTAACATAAATTATGAAAAATTATAAAGAATTATAAAGCATTTATAGAAATAGCAACCGCAAATTATAAACGGTTTAACAACCGAGGCCGCACAATTCACTATAAACCGTTTATAAACCGCATAAAACGCAAAATATACAAAGTCGGGCACGAGCTGGCCGGCCTGCGCGCGGCTCACGCGCCCGCGGCCCGGCCCCGCGCTGCGCTGGGGGCCCCGGGCAAAGAGCGCGCCGCCGCGGCGCGCGCGGCGTCCGCCGGCCGCGCTGCTGCGGACGCGGCTGCCACGCAGGCCATCTGCGCGGCGCGGGCCGCTGCCCTGCGGCCGTCGTCGGCGCCGCCGGCTGCCGAGCGGCTGGCCGCGCTCCGGGCGAGGGTCCTTGCTCGCGTAGGCTGCGGGTAGGGCCCCGGGAGCCTGCATAGCGCTGCTATGCTGGCGTTTTCCTCCGCCTCCCTCCTCCTCCCTTCCTCTTCCTCCTCCTCCTCCTCCTCCTCCTCCTCCTCCTCCCTCCTCCTCCTCCTCCCTCCTCCTCCTCCTCCTCCTCCTCCTCCTCCTCCTCCTCCTCCTCCTCCTCCTCCTCCTCCTCCTCCTCCTCCTCCTCCTCCTCCTCCTCCTCCTCCTCCTCCTCCTCCTCCTCCTCCTCTTCCCAACTAGAGCTTTCGCGGGCGCGTCCTGCCATGCCCTGCTGCCCCGGGAGTCTCGCGAGTGGCAAAAACGACGTCCCCGGAAGTCCCGACCCTTTCCCCGGGGCCGGCTTTTCGTCCCGAGTCGTTTTCTGACGGCACCGGGGCTCGGCGAGGGCCCCCGGGGCCGAAAACACGAAAAAACAGCCCGTCCTGTTTTTTGTTTACGACGCGAGCGCGTCTGGGTTTACAACTCTCCATTCTGGCCTTCAGTCGGGCACGTCCCTCTACAGGAGGAAAATTCAAAAACATCCAGGGAGGAGTTTTCGAGCATGTTTGTCATTTGTTTCGCATTTCTGTTCAAATTGTTTTTTTATGTTTACTTCAAGATCCGCCTGTAGGAGGACATGCCCGACCTAATTCCGGCGCCGAGTGCCTCCCACGCGGCTTTCCCCCGCGCCGGAGGAGCATCACCGCGGCTCCGGGCCCCCCGCGCACCGCGCGCCGGGCTCTGCCGCCAGCCTCCTGCGCGACGCCGCGGGCTGGGCGGGTCACGCGCTGCAGGCCGCCCTCGGCGCGCACGGCGGCGGCCACTCGCGCGGCGCCGGCGGCCGCTCCAGCGGCGGCCACGCGGGGCACGGCATGGCGATGAGTTGCGGGCAGGCCCGGACGGGCCTGCCGCCAATCGTGAAGGCGGGTGTGTCCCTCTACAGAAGGAATATTCAAAAATCAGAGTGAGGAGGCCGAACGGTCATGCAGTGTCCCTGGGTGCGTGGCTGGAGTGGGGATCCGTGGTGAGGATTATGCTTGTTGCGTTGTTGCGTTGTTGTTGTTTGTTGTCGTTTGTTGTCGTCGTCCCCCCTGCGACCCATCTGCGACTCGCCCCGCGACTCACCCCGCGAGACACCCCGCGACCCACCCCGCGACCCACCCCGACCCACCCCGCGAGACAACCCGCGACCCTTCCCGCGACCCAACCCGCGACCCACCCGCGTCACAACCCGCGACCCACCCGCGACCCATCCCGCGCCGCGACCCACCCGCGACCCACCCCGCGACCACCCCGCGACCCACCCCGCGACCCACCCGCGACCCACCCGCGACCCAACAGCGACCCAGCTGCGACCCACCCGCGACCCAGCCGCGACACACTTGCGACCCACCCGCGACATACCCACATTATTTAATGAAAAAAATCGGCGTCTGCGGCGGGCTCGTTCTAAAAGATTATAGATGTTGGCGTTTGCGGCGGGCTTCTCCAGAGTCTCGCAGACTGCCGCCGTCCCCACCGCCCCGTCACTCTTATCCGCATCTGCGGGGTGCTACGTAGTCCAAAGTCTGGGGACGATGCTTGTTGACTATTTCTGAGCATTGTTGAGCATGTGTTGTTATACTGCTTAAAATGCTGCGTCGAACATCCGCCTGTAGGGGGACACGCCCGACCTTAAACCAATCGGGTCGGACGGCAGAGCCAGCCACGCGCAGAGGTGGGTAGAGCGGCGGGGGTGGGGAGGCTTCTCAGAGTCACCGCTGCCTCTCGGGCGGCGAGGGCCTCATCTGTAGGTGCAGGGCTGGCGCCTCATGCGAGGCACTGTCCTTTCAGCAGCCTTCCCCCTCCCCCTACCCTCTGTGCGCGCCGCCAGACGAGGCTGTTCTCCCTCGGCCTCTGGCAGGTTTGCTGGCATGGAGGGGGCTTGGAGGAGGGACGCGGCGGGGCCCGAAGAGGATCGTTGACCGTCTCGCAAGTCGGGGCTGATTTGCACGCATTTCTGGCCCAGCGCTGGTTGAAGAGGCGGCGGGGAGGCGGGGGGAACGCCATGCAATCGAAGAATACAGATCGCCATAAACATAAACTTGTGGCGCTCCGCGCGGATTCCTTGGCTCCGCGCTGGGCCCCCCCGCCTGTGCCTCCGTCGCCGCCCCTGGCGCGCTTCGCGCGCCAGGGAAGGGGGTCCAGCGCAGATCCAAGAAATCCGCGCGGAGCGCCAAAAGTTTATGATCATGCCGTTTTTCCTTATTCGATGCAAGGGAGAGTGCCTGAGTCGGAAGAAAAACGCCATAACAAATATAATCAGGGAGCGACGGGAATCTGCTGCGTGCAGATTGTTTCGGCCCCGCCGCCGGGCGCTTTCCTCGATACGCCCCCGGCGCCCGAAGGCGTCGGGAACACCAGCCACACGTAAGCTGACTCGCTAAGGCCCCCCTTTCCTACCCTCCCTCCTTCGTGGGTGGAGGGGACATCGGGCGTCTCCGATCAGTCAGGAATGGGCGATCAAGGAGCCGCTGCAGGAGGGAGGGGTGGGGGGAGAAGGGGGAGTTTGGGAGAGGCTGGGATGAGGAGCGGGGAGGGAGAAGGGGAGGAGAGCCAGATTCCCTGCTGCCGTCTCTTTTTCAACGCGTGCGGCGTAGATTCCCAGGCATTTGCGGTTCTTCCGCCCACTCGCCCTTTTCTGTGACCCCGCCTCTGACTCATCCTCGATGCCTTCCCGCATCCCTAATCACGTAGTTCTCCTGCATTCCCACACCTCTGGCGCCTTTCTTTCTTTGCCTTGCCCTGGCAAGCGCCCAGCTGCGCGCGGGGCCCTGCCAGCCCTCGCCCTCGCCTCGGGGACCGCCTCTGGCGCGCCCACCCATCGGGGGCGGAAAAGAGGGGGGTGATGACTAGGGGTGGGTGGATATCATGGCGTGGGCCATGATATTTCCCCAGATTTCATGGCGCCTCTTCTTATTTCATTACGTCGCTGGCCCCCCCGCTGGGCCGCGCACATGCCGACGGTCATGATTTACACACACACACACACACACACCCTCTTGGACACCCCCCTCTTGGCCGCTCCCGAACCCAGGGCGTGCCGTTCTGCGGCGTGCTGTCGCTGGAGAGCGGCCTGGGCCCGGGCAAGTACCTGCACGACGAGCCCGCCGTGCACGGCCTGTGGCCGCAGACGGACCACTTCGGCAGCTCCCAGTGCCGCCTGCCGTCCAGCAAGGCACAGGGCCACGGGGTCGTGCCCGGCCTCGTTCCTCCCACTCGTCCTTCTCGGTCTCCCTCCTCTATATCGCCTCCTTCCTGCACCGCATCCCTGGTCCTGGGCCTCCTGGGCCCCGTCCATTCTCATCCTTCCTCATCCTCACTGCTCGCCTGCCTTATTCCTCCACCCCCCGTCTTTCCCATTCCGCCCTTGCATTCCGCCCTCTGTCTCCCTCTCCTCTGTCATGCATCGTGTATTCTGGCTTCCCCTCTGCCTCGCCCCTCTTCCGCCTCCGCCTCTCTGCTCCTTGCTGCTTCTCTCCAGTATCTCACTCTTCGTCTCCAATCGCATGGTTATTCCTCTTGCTCTCTATATGATCATCCAACGTCATCCCTTCTTCGAGCATCTTCTTGTTACCATTTCCCCCCATTAGTTCTCAAGCGCGCCCGGCTCAAATGTGCTCCAGAGGCTCCTGTGCTGCACCTGGACGTCGTGATCCCTGCCTTGAAGGCGAGTCCTCGTGGTCGAAGTAGGGGTCACGCCAGATCGGTACCGTGGCATCCCCCTTTGGCAGCCGCGCGGGGCCGCTGCGGTGGAGGCCAAATGAGTAGGCACCTGGTTGGATGATGGAGTCGCGAGCACTGCGATGGCTCTGGGCCGGGGCGGCCGTTCCCTCGACTGGGGCTTGGGCCACGCGGCCGCCAGGATCGCATCGTCTCCTTAGGGGGCACCCTGCGCATGCGCCGTGGGGTTCGGCCCCGAAGCCTTCGCCTCGAGCGGCTATTTAGAGGAACGAAGAACGACGTAAACATAAAAACTCGGAGGTCCGCGCGGATTTCTTGGATCCGCGCTGGGACCTCCCCGGCGGCGCCCCTGTCGCCGCCTCTGGCGCGCTCCTCGCGCCAGGGAGGGGGATCCACCGCACATCTAAGAAGTCCGCGCGGAGCGCCACAAGTTTATGTCTATGCGTTTTTTCTTCCAGTTGTTGAGTAAGCCAGCGCAAAGGCCACGACATTGCAATGTTATCAACAGGCTCGCAGGCTAGTACACCCCTCGATGCAAAACACAAGTAGGCCACCCTGGCTCTATGACTAGGTCGGGCATGTCCCCCTAAACAGGATTTTGAGCGAAAATTAATTCAAAATTACTCCGAGGGAAAGACCCGACATGAAAATCCTTCGGGCTAATTTGGAATTAACCTGCACTGTCGACCTCGCGATGAGTGAGGCGCCCTTCTTGTCTTCTCTGCGTCATTCTCATTCTCGCCCTGGCGCAGGGCCCTCACCCGCTCACCGCATTGCCCTTGCCTCGCCCTCCTGCTGCTTGTTTCGTCACCCACCACCTTGCCTCCTGTCTATTGCAAGAGCGCGCGCGTCGATTTTCTTCGACGCCGTGCCCGCCTCGGCCAGCGCGGGCGCATTCTCGAATGGCCGCGTCGCGCGGCCGTTGGGACAACCCCGCGGGCCAGGCCGACGATGGGTTACCACCGCCAGCCCGGAGACAACGGTTTCCCCCTGCCCCCGCTTCGACCGAGGATGGGTTACCACCCCCGGCCCGGACGCAAGGGTTTCCCCCTGCGCCCGGCCGCCGTCGTCGTCCTCACCTCCTGTTCCTCCTTTTCCTCCTCACCTGATGGGTCGGGCGAATCGCCTTGTGAAGACCGCATAGGGAGGGGGCTCCCGCTTGAGATTTCCGCACACTTCACTCACGGACGATTCCCCGCCTGATACTTCCTTCATTTTCAGGCTTCGGGAGCCCAAAAGTGACGACAGTTACAATTTTGAGGACGACCCGCACGGATTAAACACATGAGGTGCGGGCCCCATAGGGAGAGGGCTCCCGCCTGAGACTTCCTCACAGTTCACCCACAGACGAGGCTTCCGCTTGATACTTCCTCCATATCAAGACCTCAGGAGCTCAAAAGAGACGACAGTTACATATTCAAAAACGTAAGTTGCGGGCCGCACTTCATGTTTTGTAATCCGAGCGGGTCATCCGAGGCTTGAATATGGGGGAGGTATTAGGCGGGATGTTCGTCTCTGAGTGACTTGCGAGGAAGTCTCAGTCGGAAGCCCCCTCCTTATGGGACCCGCAAATCACGTTTCCAATCCGAGCGGGTCATCCCCGAACTTGTAATTATCGTTATTGTTGGGTTCCTGAGGCGTGAAGATAGGGGGAAGTATCAGGCGGGAGCCTCGTCTGTGAGTGAATTGTGAGGAAGTCTCAGGCGGGAGCTCTCTCCCAATGGGGCCCGCAATTCATATGTTTGATCCGAGCGGGCCATCCTCGAACTTGTAACTGTCGTCACCTTTGGGCTCCTGGAGCCGGGAAGTATCAGGCGGGAGCCTCGTCTGTGAGTAAATTCTAAGGAAATCTCAGGTGGGCCCCATAGGGAGAGGGCTTCCGCTTGAGACTTCCTTGCAATTCACTCACAGACGAGCCTCCCGCCTGATACTTCCCCCATATTCAGGCTAGCGAGTGATTGGGTGAGTGAGTGAGTGAGTGAATGACTGACTGAATGAGTGATGACGATGACGATGATGATGATGATGGTGATGCAGATGTTGAGTGAGTGGGTGAGTGAGTGCGTGATCGAATGATGGTCAAGGTGATCAGGATGGTCTGTGTGTGAGCGGATGTGAGTGTGAGCGAGTGTGTGTGGTCCTGTGTGTTCCTGCGCGGGGTGCCCAGAGAAAACAACACAACATTTTGTTTGTGGGGAATTGTTCAACAAATAAACCTATTCCAAAATTTGCAACACAAATAGCAAAAACATAGTCACCACATGTTTTTTTGACTATTCGGGAAACTTTCTCCCGTAGAGGAACACGCCCGACTTAACTCTATGATGACAGGCTTGGCCGCGTTTGGAAGTTTGGTTTGCTCTCACTTCCACGCTCGGGATATATTGCGGTCTTCTGGGCAGCTCCTCTGGGCCTCTCAGCTCCCCCCTGCTATGGCATTTTTCTGCCTTAGAGGCGCCTGCTTCTAGCTGCTGTCATGGCCCTTGGGTAGACTCCTGGTCGCGAAATTATGTTCGAAGCGGCTAGTGTTTCGGGGTTGTGGTCAGGGCAAGGTGGCCCACTGCGACGAGCACCATTGTTTTCGTATCCAGGGACACTCGATTTTCGGCGGGGGGCAGCGATCCCTGTTGAGGTGGAGTTGCGATGTGGAGTGGCCGGAAGGTCCAGTAGGTTATGGATCTACCGTTGGAGTTGCCGTTGTCGCGTTGCGCGTGTAGGGTTTCGACATGTGGTGATTGAGCACCCCTTGAATATCTCTGAGACGGATGTAATCTCAAGCGCTAGGCCTGGTTCATGTGAAACCGTAGCCCCTGCCAGGCTTACAGCCTGATCCAAAAGGCTGCGGAGAAGAGGGGGTGCAAGCTGCTCCTGGCCTGCGGCTGCCCTCCCTCGGCGCTGAAGTCAAGGTGGCCTGAGAGCACTGCTGCTTTGGACGCCTCGCTGGTCTGCTGGCCGACACCTCGCCGTGTTCGGCCCTGCCCTCCACGCCATGTCGGGCCTGCGCGCGGCGAGGGTCGCCTGCGGCACCTCGCGCGGTGCGCGTGGCGTGGCGGACTGCCGGCACGGGCACGGAGCTCGTCGCTCCATCCGCGATGCGGCCGTGGTGCCCGTGCAGCTCTCTGTCAGGAGGGGGAAAGACACACAGACGCAGTGAATCGTCGATTCCCCAGAAAATATGGGAAGTGGGGGGAAAGACAAAAACCTGGAAAATATTAGAAACGATTTGGAAACCTATTATTTGTGTGTATTTATTTGGGTGTCCCAGGGCCCCTTCATAAATGTTGCACGTGTTGAAACTTCACCACTCCAAAGACTCCCTGCATCCGCAGTTCCCAGCGCGCCGCTGGTATGCTTCAGTCGGGCGCGTCCCTCTACAGGAACATTCGAGAATAGTCAAGGGACGATGTTTCCATTGTTTTTGGACTATTTTGGAATATGTGTTGACTGTTTTTGATTTGTCGTCCAAAATCCGCATGCAGGGGGACATGCCCGAGCTAATGGTATGCCCATGTCCACGCTTGTGCGCGTTGTGCTGATTATGCCCGACTCTTCGTTTCCCCCAGTCCTCCTGGCATCACTCACTGACATGGCGATAACTTGCGTCAGTCCGGTGGTTTATCTGGTCTGCATCCGCTCAACCTTTTCCCACTTTTGTTTTAAACGCTGCGATGCAGGCGGTGCCCACGTTCAGCATCCCGGAGTGTATAGTATTTTAATCATATGCGCCTCGATCTCTCTGTGTTTCGTTTGCCGCCGCAAATTTTTCGATGATAGAAGCCGTCACTCGCAAGGCAGCACTTCTACCTGGCTGGACGCTTGACACCCATCCGTGCGTTAGTCAATTGAGGTAGCTCAGCGGATTCATAATTGTATAGTTGATTTCGTAATCGTGCACTGTCCGCTGCAACAGCGACATCGCTGGTGCCCCAAACCCACGTGTTATGGTTTTCCTGGGTCACCTGCGTGTCTTCATGACCGGCATGTGGCACTGTCCGCAAGTTAATGGTATTATGTATGGTCATTGCTCGCGTCTGAGTGTCGGCTTATGTACTCCTCGTGGCTGCAGTTGCTCATCGTTGACAATTTCAATGCCATCCTTGAGTCATAAGGAACGCGGGTATCCTCTACAGATGGATGGGGAGTTG